CCGTATGTAATGTCATGATGTATGAAATGTATTGAGTAATGATGTTCTCAAAATAAATGAGATTGTTTTGTATAATATGTATGCACATGCCATGATGTATGGATATGCAATGCTATTGTGATATTCTCTAGCTGGGGAAAATAAATCCTGGACTGCTGCTGGAGAGTATAAGGAGTTGAGTTCTTCATTTCCGCTAGGGATAGTGACCGAAGATGATTAGCATCAATTTGTATAATTGGTTTACATGACGCAAACCCTATGAGCAAGGTTGAAAAGCCCAAAACACTCGACTGAATATTCCATTTCCGTTGAGTTGACTACCATCTGGGGCGTACGCTGGCGGTGTTTCTAGAATGTAAACAGTACCCGGAGAATAAGTCTGAAGTGCATTCAGGTAGCGAGAAAGTTCTTGGTATTACTCCTCCCAATTTCCATATACCTTTTCAATCTCCTTGGTCTTTGCTAACCACGCCTTTCGGTAAGACGGAGTATAGTTAAATACCATAGTGATGTGGGAGATTATGGTTTTCACCTTCAATGATGGATCATTGCTGACGAGTGGTAGGATTTCTTGACATATGAGATCATAATTTAGTTTCCGATTATCCTGTGATTGAGTAGAACTGACACACGTGTGGGTGGACATAGAACCTATGACCCAACAATCACCTCTTAATATGTATGATGCAGTGAGCTTGAACATACAATCTGGGTGGACACACTTGATCTTGTACCTTTCTGGATTTACACGGTCCACCTTAAAATCGGCCGAGTTGAGCATGTGAAATTTTTTGATGGCTCAGATACATTCTTCTCTATTACGAAATTTGTCTTTCTCTTTTAAGTTTTTATCCGACTGCATATACGGATTGAAAAATAAGTCAGAAGATGGTTCATCTCCGCCCATGTTGAAGTTTGTCATGTGCGGAGGTGGTGTGTAGATCTCGTTTGAAGGAATACCAGGTATCCCATCGTCTTCGGAATCATCGTTGACCATGTCGTCAAACTCCAACTCATCATCTTCTTCTTCATCAACGACATCTACTTCTGCTTGTTCGGTCTCCAGAGGATCAACCACTTGTGACAGCTGAGGCTCTCGCAGCATAATGTACAACTCAATAGAATTTTACCCAGAATACTCATGACTGGAAAACATATTCTGAAGGTCCTCGTCATCTTGAACCTCAACCTTATAAAATATTATTTGGTTGTTACCAAAAAAACCGGATTCTGATAAAATATTTGTGTCACGGGACCTCGTCCAAGTTTGGCCTCCAATCGTTTTTTGAAATACAAGAAATTGGCTTTCCCATTTAAAGAAAATCAGATTTTCTCAGTGTCTCTAAACAAAAACCCAGAGGTGGGACAAACGTATGTCTCACCGTTGAAATGTGCACTGATCACATATTGGGGTGCAGAGGCCATTGTGTATGACTGTTTGAAGGTTTGAAGGTTTGAAGTATTTGAGTTAATTGCTTGAATTTTTTAATGTTCTAGTGTTTGAGTGATTAAGTGTAAGAGTGTTTTGATAAATGTAAGATTAAATAGGTTGTACTGAATTTGAATAAACCAACAGTAAGCAACCTCTAAGGCGCCTCCCTACACGTCCAATCGTGTTACATGCATGCAGAGATGTCTTCTCCAAGGTTGTCACCTAGCCTGCACTTACACTATAACCCATGCCACCTCTTATTCGCCAACAGGGATGGCGACACATTTCATTTTTGTACTCTTTCGCCAAGTCCAATGGCGCCTCCCTTCACGTCCAATCGTGTTACATGCATGCAGAGATGCCTTCTACAAGAATGTCACCTATCCTGCACCTACACTGCAACCCATGCCACCTCTTATTTGCCAACATGGATGGCGACACCTTTCATTTTTGTACTCTTTTTCCAAGTTCAATGGCGTCTCCCTTCACGTCCAATCGTGTTACATGCATGCAGAGATTCCTTCTACAAGGCTGTCACCTAGCCTGCACCTACACTGTAACCCATGCCATCTCTTATTCGCCAACAAGGATGGTGACACCTTTCATTTTTGTACTCTTTCGTCAAGTCCAATAGCACCCCCTTCACGTCCAATCGTGTTACATGCATGCAGAGATGCCTTCTACAAGGTTGTCACCTAGCCTGCACCTACACTGGAAAGTATAATTGGGGTTCTGCTGTTTTAGCCCATCTATACAGTTCCTTGTGTAAAAATGCAATCAAGTAAAAATGTACATTTTATGGCTGCGCTTTTTTACTTCAAGCCTGGGGTTGGTGGAGGATGGAGTCCCTAAACCCTGTCAACAACAACACATTCGTTTTCCCATATGCAACAAAGTAAGTCATCAACTTATATCATTTATTACTATTCATCTCTTCACCAAATATATGATAAAAATAAAATATTTTTCAATTCCTTTAGATACTACGTGAGGGGTATGGATTACGGCAAGAATCCAAGATTCAATGTCGCTCTATACCGCAATCTATTGGATCACCTTGGCCCGGATGATGTACGCCATACCTTTCAACTTTTCTACTTTTAAATTATTTATTTATTACGTTTTCATTAAGCTGATTTAATTTTATCCGCAGTTTGTCTGGAGACCATATTTGAGTTTGGACCATGAACCAAACCCCGAGGATGCAACAATTTGGAGCGCAAAGACTGCAATCATACGGTTCAATGTTGTGGAAATGCACCACAGCGACTATGTCAAGATGCAGTTTGGAATGCATCAAGAGATACTCGGCGATCCGAATTATTTGTCCCCGTGGCATCTCAAAAGGGTCGACGCCCAATGGGGTCTTACCAACTGGAAAGATTTTGTTCCAGAATGGTGTAAGATGTGGCAGAGGCGTCACCGACATGTCTTGCAATTCGCAGTTTTCCTCAACCATGGTAATATGCGACACACGGATCAGTATTTATCTTGGTATAGATCAGTTAGTACCCCTGAAATGCACATGTCTCATCCAAGATATTTGGTTGACCCACGAACACAAATGAACACAACTCTCATTTCCCCAACAACAAACCCAACACACATCAACCTCCCACCAACCCCCCCGACGAAACAGAACCACAAACACCAATCACAGTCACCACCACAATACAATTACACCCACATGCCCCACAACCAACCATAATCACCACCTCAGTACCAATACCCCCATATGCCTCACACCCAACCACAATTTCAATCACAATACCAATACACCCGCATACCCCACACACAATTTCAGTCTTCTACATATTTCAATATGGGCCCCTCAACATCCAACCTTAGCCCTGATCTGGAATTGTCCGAAGATTATTAACCAACCGACCCAACTTACCATCAACCACAACATCACCAAAGCACCCAACATTCTCAATACCAAACACCCCAAGATCCATTTCCTTTCTACCTCCGTACTCAGACGACCAATGCTATAGACCAACCATGAAACCCCACCCACCACCAACACGACCAAACTTTGAAGGTATGGACAACCGACTGTACCAAAGCGGATCTTCTAGATATGGAGATCTGACCGATTTCATAGATCCGGAACGCATTGACTTCGCTGGGCCATCGACCCTGTCATAACAGGAAACACGACGAAATCCAACACGTGAAAGACGAGGACGGGGATGCGGAACCGGAGGTCATTACCGGATTCTGGGGGACCACTGATTAATCTGTATTTTTTTTATGTAATCGTTATGTGTGTAATTATATTGTATAAATAAAAAGTCAATTTTATTGATCTTATATCGTTTACGCAACACACCACATTTAAAATAAAAAAACGCGAAAAATTGCCTCCCAATTACACTAAAGTGCCATCTCACTTGACTTAGAACATGCCTTTCACACCTAGATGTCAAGTGAGATGACGCCTCCCTTTTAAAATAAGGTGTAGGCGCCAACTGGATTGACTCCTCCCTTGTGAGATTTTCTGAAACATGATTATTTATATAATTTTCTTCAAAACATGGTTATTTGTGATTTTCTTTAATACCTAGTTATTTCAAAAAAAAATTTCAAAATTAGAGTTGCGGAAATAAAATCTTCTCTCTAACTTTTTTTTATTATTTTTCTCACATAATAAATAAATAATCTATAATTTTCTTTTATTATTTTTCTCACATAATAAATAAATAATCTAATTCTCTTTATTGACTTATTCTTTCTATTTAAAGACACCGAAATGATGGTGGAAATGTGATCCATATATTTATAATTATTTGAAATTTTGAATACATTCTTATACAACATAATATAAAAAATTTCTGACAAAATACCTATTATTTTAGAGGTGGGTTGTAAAACTACCATAGATGTTTTTTCTCTTTTTTAAATTTTTATTAGCTCATATCTCAAATTTTTAGAAAATACATAAAAAGTATTTAAATAAAATGACATGTAACATTTTTTTTGGGTCAAATAACATGTAACATATTTTTTTTTTGTCGGTCTTTCGCATATTTTTAATGTAAATATTATAATTTTTTTAAATTAATAATATTTTTTTAATTCAAATAAATTAATATTTATTCTTTTATTGTTTATAACATTTGATAAAATTCAACATTTAATAAAATTTACTTCTTAGTCATCATTTTTAAATTTAAAGAAAACAGATTAATCGTGTTTAATTATCGTTTTATTAATTATTTAATGAATTAAATTTTTATTAATTAGATTTTATGTCCTTGATCTCTTCATTTTTTTCAATTCAATTTGCCTTACTAAAAAAAAGTCAAACGGAAATAATAAAAGATAGTACATAGCAACTTCAAATTACAATAACAATAACAATATGAACATTATTATGTTACGTTACGTTACATCACTCCACATAAATAATATATCAAACTAAAGTACCATAAACACAAACAACCATTAACAAAAACCCAACAAGACCCTTTTATTTTATACCCCACTTTTACCCAATTACAAACTTTTTATTATTATTTTCAAACTCATCATCATAGAAAAACTCACTTTTTTTTTCTATCTTTCAATTTCCCTCTATTTGAATCACCTTAGTTTCACTTTTCTTCCCTTCCTCCTTAGGAATAGTGACAACTAAAACACCATTTTCCATATTAGCCTTAACTTGATCCACCTTAGCATTTTGTGGGAGCTTAAATCTTCTTCGAAATTTCCCACGGCAACGTTCCACATGATGCCACTTGTTATTCTTTTCATCATCTTCATCCACATTATTGGTCCTTTCACCACTAATTTGAAGCACTTTTCCTTCATCAATTTCTATCTTAACATCTTCTTTTTTCAAGCCCGGAAGATCGGATATAAAAACATGTGAATCTTTGGTTTCTTTCCAATCTGTTGGAGTGCTTAGGATAGGACATTTGTTTATCATAGATAAGAAAGGGTCATAGGTTTCATCACCTAGAAGTTGTGAAATGAGTGACATGGTTAAGTGTTGTTGTGTTGAATTGAACACACAAGTTTATTTTAGGGAAATTTTGGAAGAAATTGTTGTTGAATTGAGAAATAATTTGGATGGTACGTAGGTTTTTATATAAAGGGTGCAAAGGGGAAGGACATGAAGTTTCTTGGGGTTTCCACAACTTTATATTGTTATGCCCCTTTGTGTAACGTTAATTCTTGTATCTTCTTACATGTTCTTGCTTGTTCTAGTGCTCTCCCTTTTATTGTTTTGCATATAAAACTAAATGTTTAAAATTTTATTTATTTATGGGTAGCTTTAACATAAAAAAGCGAAATATTATAGGACACGTGGATTTTGACCTCAAGTCTCACCTAAATTAGTTAACAAATATAAGATAAAATAATTATAAATCTTTAAAAAATTATTAAGGCATAAATATATTAAACTAATCCTAGATCTTCTCTCTCTTTTTCTATAAACATTAATGATCTAAAATACAAAAAGGTCATTAACTTTTATAGAAAATTAGAAAAAATATGGTATCCTGTACATATGTACGAGTACTTGATTATTTAGATAAGATTAAAAATATTTATAATTAATATGGTAGTTTTGTGAAAATAAATATATATTGGACATAAATAAAAAATTAAAACATGAGAAAGTTTTTTTATAAAGATTAAACTACATATAATTAGTAGAAAGTTTTTTTATAAAGATTAAACTACATATAATTAGTAGAATATATATATATATATATATATATATATATATATATATATATATATATATATATATATATATATATATATATATATATATATATATATATATATATATATATATATATATATATATATATATATATAAAGATTCAAATTTTTCATTGAAATAATGTATATTCAATTAGAAATTATCTTCAGTTCATGGTTTGAGAAGTTTCTCATACCGAGCAGTGAAAAATTCTATATTACTGAAAAAAGACATCGTCCGTGTTAAATATTTTCGTCATTCGAAATTTTATAATTTGTTCGATTTTTATTGCATTATATCTGTTTTTTTTTTGGTACGACGTCACAAATTTTATCATCTACGATTTTTTTGTTGGTCTCGCATTGAGATTACGCACCAATAATCATTGAGTTTATCGATTTTCCATTTGATTGTATTTGATTCCACTGAAAATTCAGTTTTGTGAATAATTTGATTGGGTTTTCTCTTGGCCCAAACCAAGGCCCAATTGTCAAAACTATATATTGATTTTAGCTCACTATTTTCACAACATTCCAATCATTTCCATGGTTTCACCCAAAAAAACTGACGTGATTTCTCTCTACTCTCTATCAAACTCACGAACAAGAAGAGAATTCAAAAATCAATTTCCCCTCCAAGGCTCATTCTCTCTCGCGCTTTCCACCACCCTCACTCCTCAAGTCTCCATGCACACCAACCTTGCTTCCTCCCTACCGACGCACGCCACCACTACACCCTAGCTGGCCGCCACCCTCATCCTCCCATGATCCGGCGGTCGCCACACCCTTGCACCTGCCGATCGCCACTCTGATCTCACTGTCGGTCGCTACTTCGCCATGACACTCCCTCTATTTCTTCTTGCTCCGATCCAGTTTCCATACATCTCCAGTCATCACTTTATTTCTTCGACGTCAATTTGGTAATTCTTCTCTATTTTAATTTATTTGTTGAATTATTGAGATAATTGATTCGGTGATTTGAGTTGGATAATTTATTATGTGAATTAATTAGTTCTTGAATTGATTGCGTTAATTGAATTGAGTTTGAATTAAGAAGTTAATTGAATTGTTGAACATTGATTTTAATTAAAGCTTGAGGATAATTGTTCAATTGTGTTGATGATGATTAAATCTGGAATTGATTGAACTTTTGAAGTATTCATGTGGATCTTGATAATCCGGATATTTTCTGTTGACGATTTTTTTTATGTAAAAAATGTGGTGAATTCTCGATGTTGAATTTTTGGTAAAGAGTTAACGTCAAATTCATGTTTTAAGGCACTTTTGGATCGATTTAAATGATAAATTGATATTTTGCGACACTGGAAGAGTTAGGATTTGTAAAATGCATTAAAACATGAATTTTGAGTTTTTACTTAGAATTATGGCATTTGATGTAATTTGATCGTTTGTAAGTCGTTTACAATTTTTAAGCGATAATACTTGAACCGAAAAGTGTGTTTTCACGTCCAATTGTAATTGTTGAAATCAATTTCGAGTAACTTTGGTTCAAGTGTATATTGCTGTCCGAAATTGTAAATAGGTTGAAAAGCGCTTTTTAAATACCGTTTGAGGTTCACTTGAGTTCATTTGCGCATATGGTGACCGTTGGCACTGAGTTTTACCAATTTTAATTCGAGTTTTCAAGTGATTTTGTGGATTGCAAAGTTGCTGCCCGGATCTGATACATAGGTGTAAATGCATGATTTAAATATTTTTTAAGGCTTTTTGAACATGTTTTAGTGTTTATAGACCGTTGTTGTTGAGCCATACCATTTTCGGTGCAATTTTCGGATGCTTTCATGTTATATGCGTAGTGCTGCCCGGGTTTTGATTCCCGCCTTCCATTTCTTATTCACACCTTTCTCCTTTGCATTTCATTGCTATTTTTGAGTTGTAATGCGATACTTGATGTTGTGTTGTTATTTGCTAACTCGTTTGTGACTTGTGCAAGTTTCTAAAAGCTTTAGTTGTGTGATAGCCAACACGTGGATCATTGCTTCGCTTGTATAGCATTATCTTGTGCAGGGACTTTGATTCGATGCGACGGACTTTCCGCATGCGATTTATTTTCACATTTGCGACATTGCTTCTACTATTGGATATTATTTCTGACTGTTTCTTTGTTCTTGGTGAAGCTTGCGCAAAGTTTTTCAGGTTTCTTTGCTTTCGTCTGATCATTGACGAATTTGTGTTCGATTGGTATTTTATTCTGTTTCTTTTTATCTCTTGAATCATTTGACGCTCTCTTTTCCATGAGAAGTAGGACTAGAGATGCATGATTGGGAGTCCCTAATTTAGGTGGGAAATGTTGTTTTAAAAGACCTTTAGAAGGCAATTCCTACTTGTGCTTGCTTATTAACCATTATGTGTGTTTAATTTTGTGCCAAAGACCTCAATGAAGGCGTCCCATTCCTATTCCCCATTGATAAATCCTCAAAGAAGGCAAGTGGAAAAGGGTTGGCAATCGAGCCCCATAATTTCTAGTCCACGGGTAATTTGTAGCTTATGTCATACTTCGATGCTACGAATCATGTTATTATTGTATCGAGTCGGTCAAGTTGAGAAGGATTCACAATCAACCCTCACGCTTTATCATTAGCTTGCGTGTCATGCACGTTGACGCTCCGATGTGATCTCATTATTACCTTCTATCTCCTACCGCGATGATTCAATATCTTGGTTAGGTGTTTAGTCTCTTATGATGATTCACTCCCGTTCTTCTCTTTCCTAGATAACGTGATATCTTGGTTAAGAGTTGACACCCCTTATTCTTCTTGTCACATAACGTGCGATCATGGTTAAGATCCACGTATTCCCTCATTCTTACTTGCCTCGACGATTCAATATCTTGGTTAAGCCTCCCTTTATCCTACCTTGATGGCTAGATATCATAGTTAGGTTCCCCTTCTCCCTTTTCCTACCTCGATGACACGATATCGTGGTTAGGCGTAATCCCTCTCCCTTTCCTTACTTTGTAACATGATACCTCGGTTAGGTGTGTACTACTTGAGTGAGTGGATACTCCTCAAGATTTGTGTGTTTACTTCCAATTTCATATTTACATGCTCCTGTAGGATTTATCGATTCAATCTTAGGAAGCGGATTGAGTTAAACCTTTGGTTGCAAGCGATGCATGCTAACACTAGGTAGATTTCTCTTTTATCCTAAACTATAGGATTAACTTTTCATGACAACTCTAGGCTTACTTTCTAGTCCCCCTTAGACCTTTTTCTTTCTGTTTTGCATTTGCCTTAAAACTAAAACTCCTTTTTCTTTCAAACTCATAAGACACTCTAATAATACAAAAACCCTTTTTCAAGGTAAAAAACACCAACCAATTCAATCTTCATTTTTGTCACTTGGCTTTTTTTAAAACCCTTTCCAAGGTAAAAAACATACAACAAACTGAAACATTGAGCCGAACTACGATGCTCTAATTCCCTGAAAGGGATACTTAGGCATTAGGTTGTGGGGCCTAGGCGAGCAAAACTTTGTAAATATTCCTTCTTTTCCCCGTATTTTCTTTCGCATACATTCCCTCTTAGCATTAAGATTTAGACATAGATTTTTACACACCCTTAGATTAGAGAAAACATAAGTGGATCCTATGGAGTACCACAGAATCGTGGGGTGCTAATACCTTCCCCTCGTATAACCGACTTCCTTACCCTTTCTCTTGGTCGCAAGACCATCTTATCCATTTCTTTGGGGTTCTCTCGATATCTTCCCTTCCTTCGAGATAAAGAGAGTTTGGTGGCGACTCTTGGTTTTTCACGGTGCGACACAAGGATGCTTCGGAAATTCTCAAGAAAAATTATGAAGGTACCTCTAAGATGAGGTCTTAAGACTCCAACTTCTCACTTTAAAATTTGAGAATCAGAAGATGAATGATGACGAGACAATTCAGGAATATCAAATGAAAATTCTTGAAATTTGCAATACATCCAGTGCATTGGAAGAGAAGATGTCAGAAGCAAAGTTGGTCAGAAATATTCTTAGTTTCTTACGTTGGATATTTGAAGTGAAGACCACAACCATTGAAGAAGCTCATGATATCAATAACATGCGGGATGGTGAGCTTATAAGGTCACTTCAAACATTTGAATTGGCTATTGGTGACAAGGATGAGATAAAGAACAAAAGCATAGCTTTTGTGTCTAATTCTAAAGATGATAAGGGTCAAGTTGAGTTGGACACTGATGAGGATCTCTCTAATACCATTGTGCTATTTTGGAAGCAATTTAACATAATTATGAAAAGACTGGA